CCTGGTATAGCTACTCTCATTATTGGTCCTGAGGGATTTATCTGTCCTGGATTCCCTGTGTTTCAAGCTCTTATCTGTACCCGTGTACATCCTCTGGTCTAGCCGGATTTGTGAGGTAGAACTGGGGTCATGATAGTGAGGAGGAAGCATTAAAGAACTAGAGGAAAGTTGTATGTTTCATCCATGCTATACTGCACCCTGACTGGCTCGTCCCTTCCTGTGACCCTTCTGTGGGGATGTCCAGTTGTCCACAAATGGGCTTTGGGTCTCCATTCCACCCTCCCTCATTGTCTTCTGCTCAGGCAAGCTTTTTGGAGTGCTAGAAGGGGACCAGCCCGGGACCAGCCCCAGGAGGGCTGCTGCCTGGTGCCCTTGCAACTTCATCTCAGCCAAGCATTTCCTCCTCCAGGCCTCGGGCAGAGGCTTCCTGGACCTGCCTGCCTTCGAATCCTGCAGGGTCTGCTGGAACCGGTGACGGTTCTTTGTTTATGTCCGTTTAAAGCTCCCCAGGCCTGCTTGGGGGCTGCACACCGCCTTTGCTGGCAGAGGGACTCGAGGTGCGGATGATCCAGAAGCCGAAGAAGAAAAGAGCCAACAACAGGGCCAAGAAGGAACCATCCACTTTTCCTTGTCTCCCAAGGTCTTGCCGGATGTCTGCCCCTTTCCGGCTGACTGCTGGTCTTGGCCCCTCCCGAGATCTGGCTCTTCTCCTCTCCTGACCCTCTCCCTTTGCCTCCTCCCTGTGCCAATGGGCTCTGTGGGAGCAGCCCCAGGCTGGGTTGCTTACCTGGGTTTTTAATCAGGTGACTCAATTTCTTCAGCTTGTCCAGCTCTGGGCCAGGAAGGAGCATGGGAGAAACCAGAGAATGACTTCTTGGGATAATGAGGTTCTTGGAAGTCTTGCCTGGGCTCTATGCTAGGTGAAAGACCCTCCCCTGATGCTCTAAGAGCTTCCCTTCCCTGCTGGGGGTCACTTGGTTACACAGGGGTTGACAATGGCCACTGGCAATGCTGGCCCTGGGTCACCGAGGGAGTGGGGCTGCTGCTGGGCACACGGGGATGGCTTGTTCTTCCTCAGGCCTAGATCCGGTCCCACCTCCTCAGAAGCACCCACATGTCACCCTCGGCACTGTCCCCCCTGGTCCCCACACAGTGCAGTGGGGAGTGCATGACTGCCCTCCTTTGATAGGTGACACCTCCCAGACCTCTCTGGGCCACTGCTCTCTGAGCCCCAGTGCTAACCCCCGGGTATTACCTTCCTCGGTCAGCGTGTGGCTTGCTGAGATGTCTTCATCAGCATCAGCCACCACCACCGAGTAGATGCCCAGATCCTTAAGGCTGGGCTCCTTCAGGATGATCTTGGATCTGGCAGAGGGAGGAGGGTGGAGGCTTGTGTGCTGCAGGCCCAGGAGACTCTGTTGGCCCCAGAGCCCCTGCATCCCACCCTCAGGCCCTGGGCACCATGGGGGCTGGGGGCATTTTGACAGGGCCCTCTGTGGTCATCTGGTTCCATGCTCCTGTTTTACAGATGAGGAAACTGATCCCAGAGAGCCTTGTAGAAGGAAGCCCAGGCCAGACATCAAGTGGTGGTCCCAGCATGTTTTCTCAGATGCTCCGAGGCAGAGGCACGCAGTGCCTTAGAGAAAAGTTATCTCCAAATGAATGCTGCCTTTCAGGCCCATCAGTGCATCCCCCTCGGGTCTCCCTAAGGCTTCAGTCACACCCCTGTGAGAGGCCCCACAGCAGGTCCCCATTATTGGTGAGTCTGCTCCACTGACTCTCTCTGAAGCTGCCAACACACCAACCTTAGGGATCTGCCCACCAGCTGTGCCTTCTCTCCCCTCTCTTACTTGTCAGCCTTATCCTCAATCTTAACTCTCTGGGGGTCTGGAGGGCCCTTGTAGTCCTTGGACCACTGGAACTCGGAGGGCTCAGGGGCTTCAGGGGCTTCAAAGGCCAAATAGATGAAGCCCTCTTCATCCACGCCAACTTCAATGTTCCGGGCATCTAAGGGCAGGAGCCAACGGAAGGAGCAGGCATTCGTAAACAATAAGCCACTTGGACAAAAACCAAAAACAAATTACTCCTCTCCCTGTGACCTCCGGGCTCTGTGTGAGCTGGTTCTTTCTCCGTTCAAATGCCATCTCCTCCAAGAAGCCCACTCTAACCACCCTGGCTAAGATCATCCCCATCCAAACATATCAAGCACTTGAATTTCCTCTGCAACACCTGTCACCACGGCTAATTGTCTTCTCCATGCATTCATTCACCTGCTCCCTCCCCTGCCCACACGCACCAGGGCTGGGACCTCACTTTCCCTCTCCTTGCTGTGTGCCTCTGCCCAGTGGCATCGCCCGGTGGCTGGTGAAGGTACGGACAACTCAGAGTAGAAGGAGAGCATGTTTTGCAGTTCAGAGAGCCAAGTAATTTGGTCATCATACATTAGCTCTGTGACCTGGTCACTTGTTATCTCCGCGTGGACTCTAAAAGGAGGACCATGATCCCTCCCTCCAGGGCTTGCTGGGAAAGCAGAGGCCGTGTGAGGACTCAGTGCTGCCCGGTGGGTAGAGCAGGAGAAGAGCCCAGGTGTGGTGATTGCAGGACAGACAAACAGCCAGGAGGAGTGGTGATGCTCTGTGGAGCACATGGGAGGGACCATCCAACCAACCAGCGAAGATATGCTCATATCTAGGGGTCCCACAAAAATAACTGGTGGAGGGGCCAGTGGAAGGAGGGCCCTCAGTGTGCTTGAAATCCTGACCTGCAGCTCCTCATCCAACTCCCTCTAAGGCAGCAGTTCTCAACCTTCCTCATGCTGCAACCCTTTCATACAGTTCCTCAGGTTGCGGTGACACCCCCCCCCCATAACATTATTTTCGTTGCTACTTCATCACTGTCATTTTGCTACTGTTTTGAATCAGGCGACCGCTGTGAAAGGGGCTTTTGACCCCCAAAGGGGTCTCGACCCACAGGTTGAGAACTGCTGCTCTAAGGTCTACCTGGCTCTCTGTTGGGCAGAGGCACATGATACTCTCCCCCCACCCCCATCCCCCACTCCTAACCCATCCTACCTGGCTTGTCCTCCAGGAGCACAGGGTCAGTAGGCATTGACGGTTGCCCCAAGCCAGCTGAATTCACAGCCTGTACCCGGAACGCATAACTCTTCCCTGGCTGCAAGTCAGACACCTGAGGGTGGGGGTAACCAAGAGTGAACCCTGAGCGCAGCGAGGATGCACCCTTCCTGCCACAGCTGCAGGGATCTCAGGCTGCCTGGAGGGGTAAGAGCGAGCCAGGGGCACGCAATTGTCCTGGGTTCCAGACCCGACTTCTAGTTTCCTAATGACCTCTCCACCTGGGTCATCTCCCAGTGTGACCCCTGCCATTCCTTGTCTCGAAGATCGTTCCTCCCTCCCTTCTTCCTTCCCCTCTTTTCTCGTTCTTCTCTCTCTTCCTTCCATTTCCAAGAGTTGTACAAAACACACAGGTAACACAACATCCTGGGATTCAACATTCTTCGTGTGTACAATTTGGTGACACCAATTTCATTAATGCCATTAACCGATCATACCACTACCTGTCAGCTTGCCATCCGACATTGCTGTGATACTCCAAGGGATGCCACTGATATTTCAGCTACCAGCAGGGCCACCCGTGGTGAGCAGGTTTCAGCAAAGTTGCCACAGGAAGACAGACTCAGAAGCAGGGCATGGTGGTCTACTTGTGAAGCGACCGTGAATAGTGGGGGAACACTGTCTGATACCGTGTCGAGGAGAACCCCTCAGGTTGAAGCCACTTAAGATATGGCAAGAGAGAGACACCTCCACAAAGCGAGTTGACCTATGGATCTGGTCAAGCTTTAGGGCTGCCCTGTGGTGACACGGTCCGGGTCAAAGTCAGTTGAAACTGCTGCGGATGTCCAATAGTGATCAAACAGAGTGTGCGCAGTATGACGCTACCACACTTGGAACTGTGAAATCTAACGGAGCCCCCGAAGATCACTACCCTGGGCATTAGTGCGCTGAGCTGCGCTGGTACGAGCCATTTTGATGGAGCTACTGGATAGTTTCCTGTGCTGGAAATGACACCCGGAAGAAGAACGGGGCCCCATTCAGGATCAAGGACATTCCAGGATCTGTTCAGAAGTAGCACACTGCCAGTAACTGGATGATGTCACATGTCGACAAGAAAGCCCAGTTAATCGGACTGTGATTAATTCCACACCAACCACGGATGACAAAGATGAAACTTTTACCAACGTCTGCCGCCTGGCATTGATCAACCATGCAGTTAAGATGCGTTGATAATTACTGGCAATGGGCATGCAAAAGCTGGAAACAAAGAAGAAAGCCTGGCAGTGGGACAACCTGGACTGAGTGATCAAATCCATGACCTGGGAGACTTTAGGATAGAATGTTGCAGGACGAAGGCGGTTGTTGGAGTAGAACGGGGAAACCGCCTGGTTAAAGTCAGGACCGTGTGTCAGCGCTGTATCCTTTCATCATACTTATTCAATCTGCATGCGGATCAAATCACCCGAGAAACTTCGGAAGATAAATGCAGCATCAGGTTAGGAGGGAGAGTCACAAACACTCTGTGATCTCCAGATAACACGGCCTTGTTGCTGAAACGGAAGGGGACGTGGAGCATTTGTTGAAGACCAGAGACTCCCGCCTCGTCATGGACCCCACCTCTACACAAAGAAAGCACGCATCCTCGCGACGGCACTGAAAAGCAGCAGCATCAGAGACGGGAAAATATTGACATGGTCAAGCAGTTCGTTTACTTCGAGCCGCAATCCGGGGAAGCAGCACTTAAACCAACAAGGGAGTGCCTTGGGCACATCTGCTGCAAAAACATCTTCGGAAAGTGTTAAAAAGCAAAGATGTAACTTTGAAGACTACGGTGTCTGACCAGACCCAACCTGTGGTATTTCCACTAGCTCACGTGAACGCGAAGGCTGGATGGTGACTACGAAAGACTGAAGATGCCTTTGAATCATGATGCTGGCCACGAATGCTCACTATGCCACGGCCTTCGGGGGGGAAAGCAACCCTTGCTTTCACGAAGTGCAGCCAGGATGCTTCTTAGAACTGAGCGCGACTAGACTTCATCCCAGGTACTTTGCACATGTTATCAGGAGGGACCAGTTGCTGCGAAGGACATCACGCTCGGTCACACAGAGAGTCCTTGGAAAAGAAGCCCCTCCAAGAGTAGATGGACGGTACAGCAGGTATAGAAGAGAAGCCACCTATAGCCCAATATTCGGGTAGAGGTACACAATATTCAGGAGTCGGGAGGAGGTTAGACCAAACCCAAGGAGGTACATGTAGGTCCAACACTGAGAAGGGGAATGGGGGGAGGGGGGAGAGAGAAAAGGGGGGAATGAAAGTGAGATGATGACAGGGGGCAGGGCACCAACCCACCCAGGGGGAGAGTATTGGTTTTATCTCTACAGAATTGGGAGTGGGCATGCAGACCCTACCACGGTGCACCAACCATGAGGGCAATGTGGCTGTGTGGAGGAAGGCATGAAAAGAGACGGCTACAGGGCTGGCCCCAAACAGAGCCAATCTGACCCCCTCCCTAGAAATAAAGGTGACAGAGAATAATATTAAACCTACAGGTTGGGGAGAGGGCCAGCGTGCCATGCCCACACAGAAGCAGATCCAGAAAGAGGAAGAGAAAGGGAAGGCTGGTCTGGACACCATGCTGGCACACCAGGCCCAGAAAATGACATCCCTGGGGGAGCGGCTGGGACATAGAGGGGACTGTGGGGCCGACAACAGCTCTTGTCATGTTGTTCCCTTGCTGGAGCAGACTGCAACAGAGGACAATTCTGGGGTCACACGGCGGGGAGGTAGTGCTGTCTGAACCCCCCACATTGGGGCAAACCAAGAAGGGAACATAACTAGCAACTGGAGCAAAGCAAAGCTACAAAGCCCCTGAAGAGCCCCCCGCCCCCCAAATGGACTTCAGGCTGAGAGGGACAACTCCCAGAGATCTCCTAGGACCAGTGAGGAGATAGTCATGAAGGTCAGCCAACAGACCTGGAGTTATTTTTTCTCCTTTTTTTCCTGTGCTTTTCTTCTTTCAATCTTTTGTTTTCTTTTTGTTTGGTCTACGTCATAGTTGGTTGGCCTACTCATGTAAGACAGGCATGAGAAGCAAGCCTGAGGAGAAAGCAGTGGGGCCAGCGGTCCCGGGGGACTTGGGGGAGAGGGTGGCTGGGAAAGGGTGTGGTGAGCAGCCAGCGCCATAGACAGGGGAACAACTAGGGAATTAGAGTCAGCAACAGGGAGGAGATAGAGATCCTGGGGTGTCGGAGCAACAGCAATCTAGCTAAGAGGAAGTTCTAAGAGGAGGAAATAGGGGGAAAGTATTGGTGGGGCAGGAGGAAGGTAAAAGGAAACAGAGGAAAGATCTAGGAAGCAAAGTAATGGATAGCAGTATAAACATAGGTGTGTACAGATGCAAATGCATTAATCCACGAAAATAGAGGTGTTGGCCTATGTACATATATTTATACAACAATACACTTAGGTCGTGGATGGACTTCGGGCCTCTGCTCAACCCCTCCCTCATACAAGAACACTTTGTTCTAACCAATCCGCAGTGTGAGATGTTCACTCTCCCGAGACAATCGCTGAAGACAAAACGAGTGCATAAGCAAATCTGAAGAAGGCGGATGGTGCCTGGTTATAAAAAGATAAAGCATCTGGGGTCTTAAAGGCTTGAAGTTAAACAAAAGGCCATCCAGTACAGAAGCAACAAACCCACATGGAAGAAGCACACTGCTAGTGTGATCATGAGGAGTCATCAGACCGGGAAATAGGCATCAGAAGACACATAACAATCAAACAAAAACATATTTTTGAGAACGAGGTGGGGGGGGCAGAGCAGAGACCCAAAGCCCATCTGTAGACAATGGAACAATCCCAACAATCCCCTAATAGAGAGCCCACAGGGAAGGGATGAGTCAACCAGGGTGCAGTAAAGCATCGATGAAACACACAATACAGTAATTCCTCTGGTTCCTTAAGGCTTCCTCACCCCCCACTATCAAGACCCCAGGGCTGTTTCTCAATTCAGACTAGACCAGAACATGCACACAGGTACAGATAAGAGGTGGGGGCTCACGACACACAGATTCCAGGAACAGGAGCGGGAATAGTGATGCCAGAAGGGTAGGGGGGCGGGGGGGAGAGGAGGGGAGAAAGGGGGAGCTGATCGCAATGATGGACACATAACCATACACCCCTCTCCAGGGGGAAGAGCAACAGAAAACATGGGGGAAGGGAGACAGCAGTCGGTGTAAGATATGAAAATAATAATAATTTGTAATCTATCAAGGGGTTATGAGGGTAGGCGAGGGAGGGGAAAAAAGGAGTTGACTCCAAGGGCTCAATAGAAAGTAAATGTCTAGAAATGAATGAAGGCAACATGTGCAATCGACGTGTGAATTGTAACAAGAGTTGTAAGAGTCCCCAATAAAATGATCTTTAAAGTAAAATTTAAAAAGAGATAGATCGATACAGTGGATGCAACCATGAGCTGAAACAGACCACCGGGTGTGAGGACGTGCGGGCCTGGGCACCGGTGTCTGGTTCTGTTGTGCACAGGCACCGTGAGCCGGAGCTGACTCCGCGACCTAACACATTACATTCATCACATTAACCACATTGCACAACCCTCACCAGCAGTCATTGCCAAATCTTTTCACCATATAAACAGAAACCTACTGTTGGAACTTCACTTATTATCCGCCAATAAGAAGACCTTCTCTCTCCGATCGCCTTGCCTCCATCTATGCCGTCACCCGAGTGACATGTGAGCAGTTATTTCCAGGTAGGGAGGATAGAAAGACAAGGGGCTAGCAGCTATTTGAGAGATTAGTGCCCTATGCTGTGTGTTTTTCTTTAATTAAATACTTTTATTGGGGGCTCTTATAGCAGCTCTTCTCACAATCCATACATTCATCCATTGTGTCGAGCACATTCGTACATATGTTGCCATCATCATTTTCAAAGCGTTTTCTTTTTACTTGAGCCCTTGATATCAGCTCTTCATTTTTCCCCTCCCTCCTCCGCCCTCCCTGTTTTAAGGGGCTACTTGCCACACTTGTCCATCAGTTTGTTGGATGGAGGTGGCTTGCGTGTCGCTGTGATACTGGAAGCTATGCTACTGGT